TTTGCCTTTGCTTCTACTGCCTGTCTTGAAAATAACGTTTAACCAAAGCAGTGATTGCGAGTTGCGCGTAATTGTTGAATGTTCGTGCATCACAAATAATGTTTAGGAACTAGAGAGAACAAAATGGGGAAAGTGAAGAAACGAAAATCATTGAAACCAGGCTTTTATCGACACCTCTGTTAATGCTGCGCTCTTTTCAACAACTTTGGACATAATTACTTTGGAGATAACTTTAGTGAAAAACAACGCTTTTCAGGACCTTGGACAGAGGCAGCTCTCGTTTATATTCCGCTTTTTTTTAGATATGCCCTGCTTTACTTGTTGTGTTTGGACATTTGATTTGTATTAATTGTGCTAAAAGTTATGCAGTTTACCCAAACAGTATAGAGACGTACGGTATAGGGCACGTTACTTCTCCATTTACATAAAGATAATGTAAAAACAATAGAACAAAGCAAGAGTTGTTCAAATTGATAAATTAAAAATGTGTATTTCAGCCACATTTGGGACATTTTGTATTTCTTATCATATATTTGTTTGTACTTTTGAAATGAGATTATCAAGCTGCTTTTATTTTGTATTGAATAGCAGATCTCATCGCAAAAATTACTTTTTAAATTAATGCACTATTATGACTATTGTGTTTGGATTCTGTTCTTAATGTGGTTATAATCATGTTTGTTTGTTTTTTTTTATGTAAATGACAATGTTAGGCAAAATTTCTGACATAGGCCTACAGGCTTTTGTACAGTTAATTACTAAAGTGCTTTTTTCCCCCTTTCTTTTTCAAACTAATGTATGTAAAAATGAACTTATTTGTATTTTAATATTTGTTGATTATGTTTCTGTTAGTTGACGTCAAGTGCGCGTTTGCTTTCCATTATACATTGTGTTAAAATGCATTCATGGTAAACAATACACCTCGCTATACCTCATGACTGTTGGTAATGGGTCTAACTGTCGAACACAAAGGCACCATGCAGTCCATTTTTAAGATCTGTACTTTTATTTTGAAACAAACTGCACTGTGCGTAAAAGTTCCTGTCAACCCATCTGGTCAGGTTTCGTGCGTAAAAGCAGTTTCCCCGTGTGCCTGCCTGCCTATCCTGCTATAACTCCAATATGATTAGTGTGTGGAGCCGAGGAGACGCTAATTGCTGGAGGATCAGACCGGCTCCCCGTAAAGACACGAGCACTGGGGGAGTTTCCGACAAAAGAGCGCGATGAGAGCACGCACGCTTCCAACAAGTCATTCTCGACCCGCTACAAAGACCACACACGGAGCCTAAGTCATGTTAATGTGATCCCAGCTCGTCACTGCAGCCGCTGAACAAAACGGTGGCGGCTCGTGAGAAGCGCATTCGGGCGAGATTTCACTTAAAACTCGGAGAATGAGCTATTGGCTGCTGCGTAACGGGGGTTCGCGCTTTTACGCAAAGACGCAAATCAACGCCAATAGATAAGAGAAGATTGTATGTGTTAGAAGCTTAAACGTGGCATGAGATTAAAGTTTTTTCCTTGCCATAAATACACAAGAAATCAAAGTATTATCGGGGTGTAAAGTTGTTGCCAGTGACTAAATGAACAACTTACGTCTGTATTATAAAATAAGTTTAAAACAATAAAAATCCCTACATTACGTTAAATATTATCATTTACATACTGGTACATGAAAAGAAAGACTTGAAAATAATAAGAAGAAACCTAAGTAATATTTGAGTCGTGAGTTCTTTATACCAATAAATGCAATACTTACATTTTGTATTGTAAAGTTAACTTCAAATGTGTTATTCTGGTCACATTGTTAATCATTAGGATTTCAGAGTAAAATTAGCCACATGTTTCTGCGTTAATATCCTCCAACATGCACGCTCTCCGACACGAGAAGCGTCTTATCAAATCACGGCTAAATGAATGGCGGTCAAAGGTCGCGTGGTGTACAGCGTTGTGTACGTAATATCGCGGAGAGAGTAACGAGGCGCGCATTAACCCCCGTGATCCGCGGCAAAACACGAGGAGGAAACTGGAGAGGAGGAGAGGAGGAGAGGAGAGCCCGTACAGTCAGGTGCAGCGGAGGAGGCCCGCAGCTGCGCGACAGTCCACACCGCGTTACGACACACACCTGCTCCAACCGCACAAGCAGCGAGCCAAGCCTGTGCACCGTGCGTAAAATGTGTGCGTAATGCGTAAAATGGTACACATGCTAAAAGAGACAGTGCCGATTTAAGATGTGTTCTCTTACTGTTTGCATGCCTTTATTTTATCATAGTTTATATTATTATTCATTCTTTTATGTTGCATCATATCGCCGTAAATTCCTAGTTTTGTTCGCTCTTTGGCCACACACTTTTTAATATCAATTCTGTTATTCCTATAGGAATTATAATTATGCACGGAATTCATAACATTTGGCTAATATAACATAACAAAATTATACATGGGAAATAGTGCTCTTAAAGCCAATAAAATGAACAAAGAATTGCTCTCACACTGAGTGCAGAAGTTGGCCGATATATCGAACAAAATTATAACTTGAAATGTAATATACCAGTCAAATTAATCAGTTAAGTTATCAATGGAAACGTAACTCATTAACATAACCATAAACTATTAATAATAATAAACCCACACATTAAAGTACATTTCTTTTAGCCCAAATGAATAATTACTAGCCAGTTGTACAAATACTGCAGTTGTTTGGTTGGAGTTTAGACCCGTAACGGTACAGCGTGTTCAACAGGCTCCTATAGAAACTCTTTCTTTGTTAGTGACCGTGCTTGCTCAATGGACTCCAATGAATCACTGTTCTGTGGCTATTAATCTTATGAAGCCAAGCAAACAATACGTAAGACCCATGGCGAACTACAATTCAGAATATTTTGTTACGTAATTTTTGTTTAGGGCTGTGCTACGCGTGTACTACGAATTACTAGACTAAAAAAATAAAATAATAATAATACAATATAGGGTTTCCTTTAAGGCCAGAACTCAACTAAAATGGAAACACAAACCTGGAATCTTGGTTGAATATAGGATACATCAAATACAGTGTTATATCGCCACATTTTGAGACTATAATATCATGTAATAAAGCAGGATTGTATTGGTAACATAGCCAGTGATTTATGGGACAATTTAAGCAGAACATTGGCTCCTGAGTCTCCGCCCCCAGAGCACGCTAAAATTATGGTTTCGAGCACCCTTGACTACAACACAAAACACGGTCCATTTCCAACGCAATAACTCCCAACGAACACTACGGACACCGCTTAAAAGCATATCCAAATATCCACACAACTCACGGCTATTTGACTCATCTACCAAATCAGAAGTACTACAAAGACTCAAACACGTAGCATCTTTGTCCATGGTATTTTTTTTACAATCAATACACCGGTCTAATGACGTAATAATAATAATTATAATAGGCCTATCAATGACTCAGTATTGTAGGCTATTCCGAATCCCTTTGTCGCTTAGGAACCCGCAATTTACAAGCTGCGTGGAGCTAGAATACGCGCGGTAATCTAGCTGTAATGATCACAAGTCCATACATTTACGCAGCCCTGACACTTAAGGAAGCGAGTGGTGAAATGTAGCCGGCTTGTTGACGCGCTGTCACGGTTGATCGATTATTGATAAGCGACGTGTTGTTTGGTCGTCGATAAGAGGAGAGCCGTGTTTGAAGTCGAAGCTTTGTGACTCACGAGTAAATGGTCGCGAATGCAAACACAGAGAGTCCATAAAGGGTTGGGTTCGCTCCAAAGGGAATGGTGATAAGAAAAGCATTATGTGGAACAGAGAAATGGCTCTACGCGTCCCAACAATGGAGAGAGAGAGTTATGGCCACGTAATTACTCCCTAATGCAAAAATAAAATAGATTAAAGGCCTATTCACATTGAATTATAATCTTTTGTTGGAATAATATATAAATCCTAGTCTTTGTTTCATAAAGATACCAAAACTAAGATAGAGATAAAGTCTGGTTTTGTTTCTCATTTACGCACAGTTTACGCACACACTGTACGCACAGTTTCTCACTTTGGTTCAGTTCATGTTGTTGGAATAATTCATAAATCGTAGTCTTTGTTTCATAGAGGTTAAGGCAGAGGTAAAGTCTGATTATTTTCCCAGTTGCGCACATCTTACGCACATTTTACGCACACACTGTACGCACTATTTCTCACTTTGGTTCAGTTCATGTTGTTGGAATAATTCATAAAACTTATAGTCTTAGGATATTTAATAAAGAGAAACCTGATTCTGTTTAACTGTGGTGGAGCCTTTGAAATCAGTTTTTAGCTCCAATTATTTTTGGACAGACCTCGTTAATGCGTCGTTTTAGCCAAATTACACAAATTTCAAATTAATTCATTGCATGTAATAAAATGTCATGTCTTATTTTATTTTTCACCCTCTGCAGTCTCCATGTTGCTAAAATCCTCTGTAAAATAAATAAAATAAAAGGAGAAAGCGACTCGCCATTTCAAACTGAACCAAATCACGACATATTTGACAAGGAGGGTCCTGTGTCGTTCCCATAATTTATTAATAGGAGTGTTTTTAGTCAAATATCTATATAAGTTACAAAGAAATCCAAACGTACAAATACCAATAAAACGACGAATGAACAGAGCGCAAACGAGCGTCCAAACTGCTGTACAACAAGAAGTAGAAGAGAGAGAAGCTAGTCCAAGCTTTGACAGAAATATACAGCTAACCAACCTACAGGCTTCACATTAAATTCTATAGAAATCACAGTTTGGGGTTCACAGCAGGTGTCTCCTCATCGTGGCCTACTGTCTTTCGATATAATTTACATAAATAATCCGCAGTTTGTAGCACTGTCCATTTTAAATCCACATCGCGTTTATCTGCAGTGTCTCCGAGTTTATTGTCGTTTTAAAATCCATTTTGCACAAGTCTTGCAATGTGTCCTTCATAGTTTTAAATAGCAGTTTGTTTGCGTGATTTATGACTGGCTGGGTAATTCTTGATGTCACCACGTCCGGCCGTAGAGCAGCGCGTACTCGGCCCCGGGGGAGTTCAGGTGCGAGAGGCCGGAGACGGGCGGACTCGAGCCGGCCAAATCTGGAGAGTGGCCCGTACTGGAGACCTGCTGTTGGGTCTGATGCTGCGCCAGCGCGTTGGACATGAGCATGACCGCGCCCTGCTGCTGCTGCTGCTGCTGGCTCTGGCTCTGCTGCTGTCCGTGGTGGTGGTTCTGCGCGGTGGGGTTGGTCCCGTGGCCGCTGCCCTGACACGGTTTGCCGTCCTTCACGAGCACGGGCACGGCCACTCTCCGCGGAGACTGCTGGGAGCCCTGGGTCTGCTGGCACGAGCCCCCGTCCTGCTGGAGCTGCTGCTGGGACGCTTTGTCTTTGGCCTGACGCTTCATCTTGTAGCGGTGATTTTGGAACCAGATCTTCACCTGAAAATCACGGAAAAAATCAGGAAAATTTGGATTATATGATCCATTGAATCCATTCATTCTATTGATATAATATCAATGTACTTTCAAATACACATTTAACACGTGTTCTGTTCAAATTCACATCAAATTCACATAATAATAATAATACATACATACTTAATTAATATCGTGAATATTAAAATCTTATGTAACTGATTCAAACAAAAAAGTAGTTCAATCACTGTGTAATAAATTAAAAAATAATCACACTCAAACAAAGGCAGCTCAGCAAAATGGAAATTCATTATTATATTTATTTTTACTTAATTTACTTCATTTACATATAAATTTGCATAATTTTACCTTATTTAACACCACATTTTTGTTTTGTTTTTTTGTTTTTTTCTACGTATTTTGCTTTTATTATGACCATGTATATTTGTTCTCTTTGTTGATTCTGTTATATTGTGATGTGTGACTCCTGTGTCCAAATTATTTCCCTTATGGATCAACACAGTTTGTCTAAGTCTGTTGTTATATTTTATTAAAATCAGTGTCTTTTTTTTATCTTAATTGTTATGTTTTATTTTTATATTTATTATTTATTATTAGGAGTATTCTTGCTCTTATTTGATTTGACTAGTTTTATTGTCTTAACGAGGACTAGACGAGTTAAATAGAGCTTAATTTTTCAGTTCTATTGGATCTGTTTTATTCGTATTGTGCAGCACTTTGCTTTTGTTTATGAGATGTGCTAGGAAAATAACATGGATTGGATTGGAAACCTTTTTTTTACCAGATAAAAAATTAAAACCTAATTCTGTTTTCGAAGTTATAGGTTAGATAACAAGCATGAGTGTGTTCTAGCTCTAGATTTTGGATACACTGCTTAACTATTTTAATATTATTTTCAAAAACAATATATTTTTGTTTAGTTTTTGGTCCATAAACTACAACCATACAAAACCACACTGAAACACTACAAGCAGACACAAGCTCCAGGATCAGATTTCAATAAGAATTCTAATTTCGTGCAAAAGCTCGTTACACATTAGGGACTGTTTTATTCCATTAAGCGTGTTAACCTTTAGCCTTGGAATCTACAGCTCAAATAGACTTCACTAGGAAGCAGGTGTAGTTTTATCATTTTTTAAACTTCTACACCAAAATACTGTAACAATACAAAAGTGTGAAAAGAACAATGAATAAACTGTGAAAACGTGGACAAAATGTGTTTTCAGTTTGATTAAAATATAAGAGAAATGGGCGTATCTGAGATGTTTTTGTGGTTTGACCAATTAAAATGTGCTGCTGGAGCTCATGGGCTTTTGGAGAGAGGTATGTCTGGTATTTTCCACTCCAGGTTTAGTTGGAACAGATTCTCCAGCTTCGAGAGACCAGAATTAGCCAAAAATAATGCAGTCAAGTGGGTTAGACAAATTATAACGGGAATAAAAATGAAACACAAACAATATGAGAAAGTGTTTTGTGTTGAAACCATAAAGTCCGATAATAAAGATGAATGATTTGTTATGAAATTGAAAATGAAATAATTACTTTCACATTAATTACACAAAAACACAGTAAATTATGTATCTAAGTAGGTATATATATATATATATATATATATATATATATATATATATATATATATATATATATATATATATATATATATATATATATATTTCATTTATTTTTGTTTTAGCAATTTGGATATTACCTGCACTCAATCAATACAATGTAATGCCATTCTGGTCACATGGCACAATGAAGTCTCTAAATACATATATACAGATTTGTGGAGCTGTATTAGGTTTGCTGTATGGTATTTAACATACCATAATATATGTGTTTTTATTATTTATTTATATTTGTATTGCACCCTTTTGTGCTTTAACAACCTTATCTTTGACCTATATTTGGCATAATTAATTAATTCACGTAGTCACCAAACCTTACTGCTTCATTATTTACTTTGTGCGTAATTGGAGAGATACTGGAACACAACAAAGGATTACGATAGAAAACGGTGTTTGCTGTTTTTAGTCATTTGCACCACTAATACAAGGTCATTTGACTTTGTTATTCTGTTATTTTACTCTCTCATTACATTTACGTACAAAAAACAGCCTAATTGCCCGGAAGTGTACCTGCGTCGGCGTCAGGTGGATCATGCTGGCCAGGTGCTCGCGCTCGGGGGCAGACAGGTATTTCTGTTGCTTGAATCGCCTCTCGAGCTCGTACACCTGCGCCTGGGAGAAGAGCACGCGCCTCTTCCTCCGCGGGGCGCTGGACAGGGACCCCATTCCTTTGCCCACCTCGGCCAGAGAGCTCAGGCTGCCCATACTGCCCATGTTCATGCCCGAGGAGGAGCCCATGAAGCGGGAGACTGCGGAGGAGACACGGGGTCAAAATCAGACCAGGCTTTTACGCACAAAATACACCACATTTCATTGTTTGGATTGGGTTTATTATGCCACGATCAACGATACATGTTTAGAGCCAATTTCTTACACTTGAACAAGCTAGAAATATTTTCACTTTCATTTCATTTCCGTTCAAATAAATAAATAAAATTGAGATACGAAAATCTTAACGCACAATACTAGTGTGTGTAATACTGTGGTTAGAAATGATAATTTGTATTAAACACATTTTATATTATTTCATAATTATTGTAAACATTTTGTCGATGTAAAGGCAATAAAATATTTGTTTATCCTTACTCACAAAGATCAATTGTACTTATCTTTAAATTACATCGAATGAAATCAACATTGTGGTAAATAAAAATAAAACATACTAAAAAGGAAAAGTGAAGTACGTGTAGGTTTTGTCGTAGATCGTGTATTCAACAGGTGTATTTGCTGTACACTGTAGTATTATTATGATTGTGTAGTGTTTTGCTTTACACAAAAAGCCAATTCACATCAGATTCGAAACACATGAATCAATTTGTGCTAAAGGTGGAATGACGTGACCCGTGCGTAAAGGTTCTGGTTATCGAAAGCGTCCTTGTTGACATTGTACAGCCCCGATATATATTCGTAACAGACAACAAATTGCACGTGTTCGATTTTCGGGTGAAAAATATTTAAATTGGAGAATTGAAATCCAACTTTATGATCCTAGAATCTATCAACAACCTGTCAAAAAAGTCTACCGAACTGTGCGTAAATGTCAAGTATTTTCCGCTATCCTCCTCATTCATGTCAGGTGAACTGCGGTGAGTGTTATGAACTCACTTGTGGTGGAAATATTGAAATGGGTTAATTTGGAGCCTAAATCCAGCTATATGACCTTAGAATGTATCAACAAACTGTCAAAAGAGTCTAAAGAACTGCACGTAATCTCCCTCGTAACTCTCTCTTTGCTTTCACAGGTGCAACAGAGAGAGTGTGTTCCATGATTCTAAGGAGAAAAAATATTTAAATGGGTAAAAATAAATCCTAAAAAAAACATTTATATGGCCATAAAACTACCTGCCAATTGTATTTAAAAAGCGGTGCGTAAATCCAAACATCTCTTCCGTTATACTAGCGTGCGCACTACGGTGAGTGTGTTCTATCATATCAGAATGATGAAAAATTGAGACTGTTGCTATAGATATTAACAATTTAAAACATAATATATATTTTGAATGTGCTAAAAACCCTGAAAGTGTTGCATCTAGGTACATAACGTAGCTGACACCTCTGAATACTCACTTGTGGAGAAGCGTGGGTCCGTATTGGCCCCGTACCATCCCGTGGCCGTGGCGCTGCCCCTCATCCCGTCCTGATACGGCGGCAGCTCGCTCATGTTGCCCAGGTTCCCGTTGCAGTAGCCTCCCATAGCGGTGTGCGACAGCTGCGAGACCCCGGCCGCCGTCATGTGGTAAGCGGCCGCGGAGACGGTACCGTTGTGACCCATGTGCTGGTGCTGCATTGCCGCCTGAGAGACCTGCGGCTGCCGGTAAGACGCGAGAGGAGCCCCCAAGTTGTTGTTGTCCATACTTACTTTCTTATAGCTCTCTTCGAGGGGACTCAAGATATCGGAAACAGAAAAAGGAGTCGTATGCTTAGGGCTCATCGACATTGTTCTGTAGCAGGATGGAGAGGGAGAAATTAGGCAAGGCAATCTCTCCGAGCTTTTTTTTTTTTTTTTTTTTTTTTTTTTTTTTTTTGGCCAAAGCCCCTCTCTCTTCTTCTTGGTTCCTGTTGTCGACCCTGGTAAGATGAAGAAGACGTAGGAGAGCGCCTCAAGTCCGCCTTAATTGGATGGAGTGGGAGCTTGGTACTGGCTTTGGTTTGTTTTAGCCTGGCGCCAGGTTTAAGGCTACCATCAGAGGCGGGGCATCGTGGCAACAATACGAAAAAAAAAAAAAAAAACTCCACAAGCTTCAACGCTACAGCCTTCCTCCTCCCGAGCAGCCGTGCGTAATTCCACTCTCCAAGACGACTCCCTCCCACTACAATAACACGGGGAATAAACGTCCAAATCCACGTCTGCGTGTGGTGCGGTGCGTACGTCTTGGTTCCGCCGCTCTCCCGTGCCACACTGGCGCTCACCTCAGCTCTCGCGCTGGCCACAATGCACTTTATTAACTGTAGTATGTTTACGAGGGCCTCTTGATAAAAGAAGGGCCTATATGGACTTGAGAGTTGGAGAAGCACTCCTCAGTTGAACTAGTGACTTTTAATGGCCACGAGGGGCCTCCAGTGATTGCGGGATTGTTTGTGTTGTGCCTTATCGTACTCAGACATGCAAAAGTGCACTTGCGACGAGAGGAATTGACTGAACCTGATAAGTAAATAAATACACATCCCGTGCGTTAAGTGGCTGCGTAAATCATTCATTAAGCTCCGCCTGTATCTCAATTCACCTTTTTGATGCGACCGGAGACAAGCGGCGCGCGTTTGTTACGGGGTTAATAGGCCCGTAGGAGAGCGCGCTGTTACAGGTGGAGAAGGGTATATCCCCAAATATAAAAATACAGTCTGGATTTGGACACGCAGTGGTACAATCTACGTCATTTTAACAAGCCACTTTTTATGAAACCAAGTGGCCTAATTATGACATGTAACAGAAACAATAGGCCTACAGTCATGGCCATTACGAGACAAATCAGTTTGGGGTTTGGACCACCGGTTGTGAATCAATGACCAATTTAAACACGATGATGACAAAATGTAAATAGAGTTTTGCGTTTTAAGCAGTAGTGTGCATCAAATCATTTTCACAGAGCACCTCAGAAAACAAAATGCAAACAATAATAATAATGTCATTATTACACGTAACAAAACTATAGGTCTAGTCGTTTCAGACGATTCAAAACTGCATAAACTGGGGTTAGAAGCACCAACCGTGTGTCAGTGACCCATGAAAAAGATCCAAATTGACCTTAAAAGAACTGCTCACACTGTACCTACTATTTCACTTAGACTTAGACAGACTTTATTGATCCACAAGGGAAATTACTTGAACACAGGAGCTCACATTATATTAGAATAACAAAGAGTAAAAAGAAAGCAATAAAAATAGCAAGAGACTGATGTCAAATAAGAAATAAAAAAGATAAATGTATGTGCAGTAAGAAAAAAATAATAATAATAACAAAGGAAATGACGATTGACAGAAACATAGATTTATCTGTTCCATAAGGGTGAGTTGCTATACAGTTGTAGGGAGTATTATCTGTTTCATAAGGGTGAGTTGTCGTACAGTTGGAGGGAGTATTATCTGTTTCATAAGGGTGAGTTGTAGTACAGTTGTAGGGAGCATTATCTCTTCCATAAGAGTGAGTTGTAGGGAGTATTTAACTGTGTGTATTTCTCACATTGTTGGTAGTTAAAGTTGTTGTGTCATTTTAAAGGATTTCATTGGAATGATTTAAAATGAGCCTCTTTGCAAAAGAAAAAGTGTGTTTACATTCAGTACATCTCCATCCATCATTAACACACTTTACATATTTGATCCATATTTCTTAAACACTGATTAGTTGGATATTATATTGTGAAATCTATACTCTTATGTTAATCAGATGGTGTTATATAAGAGGGAAAAAACAATACAATATTGAGCCTAGTGAGTCGCATCTGTGATGAGAAGCTGCTCAGTCCAAGCAAAAAATACATCTGCATTTGTAAATAGTTGCAAACATTGTGCAATAGTAAAATATTATAATGTAAAGACGACATGGTAAGACTTAACTGCACTTTAATTAGCCGTAAAAAGCACAAAGAAAATTTAAGATATTAAGAACGATTCAGGCAAAGGAATTTCCTAACTCCTCATTTCCTAATTAAAGCTCCTATACCACATAAAAGTGACTCCTGTGAGCTTTAAGTCATGTTAGAATGTTGTTCACTTCTCACAAACAGACCTGGAGTTGTGTTTTGTTTCATTCATACATGTTTGAGTAACTGTGTTATTAGTCTGTCTACATCTCCAAAGCTCCAAATGCTCTGCTCCACCTTGTGATGTCATGAAGTCATGTCATGAACAGCTTCTTTTATTTTGTTCAGTTGGCAATTTCAGGACTGAAACTATGGAAGTGATTCTAGTGAAGGTGCATGAAGTTAAAAAACACAGTGGAGCACTTCCTGTATTACCACATGACATCACAAGGTGGAACAGAGTTTTCGATTTGAGAGAAAAAGTCGTGCTAAATGTGTAGATTTGTGTGTTAAACATGTGAGAATGAAACAAAACAAAACACAAGTCCAGGTCTGTTTGTAACGAAGAATCTACATTAGAACTGATCAGGGAACAGTGTCATATGGACCCTTTAATTTAAGTAATGATTAAGGTTGAATCATTAATAAAGTATTTGTTCATTATGTATTCATTCTTTATTTATGATTTATTAAGGCTATTTAAAGTGTAGTTGTAAAATGGTTGTTTTTCTGCAACCAAAAGCCACATGGTCATAACAATCACCAACAAACAAGGTCTAATATCCCCCTCACTCACTCACTCACTCACTCAGGCTTTCACAAACGTTCAAGACACAGACTGTATAAAAAAGTGGACTGAGAGAGTGTGACTTCACCCACTGCCTTTAGCTCCAGTCAAATGAAGCTCAGCGGGGCCTGGACGAGTTTGCTATTAGGAACAGAGATTTATTTATGGACAAAATAGCAAATCACAAACTCCAGGATCATGTGAAGTGGATTAATACAAACATTTTAAGATCAAAATGACGAGACTCACAGCAGCAGGTACAGAGAGAGGGATGACGACTTTTCATTGTAAAATCAATTGGAGTCAGAGTCGATGGAGCTGTAAGTGCACCCATACTCTTTTCCTGTCCATTTATACTGTAAATACAATCTATGGTTCAAATAATCTACAAAATAAATAAATAAATACAAAAATTCCTAATTCACAATGAAAACAGACAATGGAGAAAGTTGCATAGAGGAAATATAATAATGATGATAAAAACTAGGTATATTTTCTGAACAGTTTGTAAAGGGTTGATTTGTTTTTAATCACAAAGGGAATTTTGTTATATTTAAATCCAGTGAAAGTCAATACTGATAAAAAAAATAAATAAATAAATAAATAACAAAAAAAAAAAAAACCAAAAAAAAAACAAACCTACAAATAAAAAGACGTGGCCAAGTGCTCTGTCAAAGTGAACCCCGTAGGTCTCGTCGCCGTAGTGACAGTCAAACTAGGCCAAAAATACCTGTGTGGAGGTGAATTTGTTTGTAACCTGAACAAGCCCGAGTGTGGCTGCTGCAGACGGAGGAGAGGGGCTCTTCTGGGAGGGGAGGGAGGCATGGGGGAGGGAGAGGTGGGGCGAGGGGGTAAAGGGGGTAACAGAAGAGAAGAGAGCAACAGCAGGTACACGGACAGACTCCAACACACTCTCCCACCTGCAAGGATCCATAAAGAGAAATACACACAGCACATGAGACTGGGACTAAACTGGGACTAAACTGGGACTAGAACAGGACACGGCCAAGTCTACATCAGGACTAAACCTGGACAAATGAGGAGGTCACTTACAAAAACACATATCTCCGTCTGGAAAAATGACTTCTATATTAGGCTATAGGGATATTGGTGGATCGATTTTTAGTAGATTTAATAAAAGAGGGATGGATTCATATCGTGAAATACATTTGGCTTCTGAAAACAACACTATACAAGAGTAAAGTTTGAACCTTCCATTGTTTTTGCAGATGAGCTATTCACACGTGAGCACAGCTCCAGATGAGGCGCTGGGATATGCTTGTTAACTTTGCCGACTGGAAACAAGGAAATCAAGACACAGGCAAAAGAAGTGAGAAGAAGTGGACTGAGGGAGGGTGATTTCACCCACAGAGTTCTGCTCCAGTCAAATGAAACTCACTAAGGCTAGCAGGAAAAGGAATTTGCAGACAAAATAGCAAAATAAAAACATCATGTAGAGCAGGGCTGTCAAACTCAGATTCACTGAGGGCCAAAATGTAAACCTGAGACTAAGTCACTGTTTTCTCTTCTGTCGAGATCTGTAAAGGTAAACCTTTTCTTATTCAAATAAATGTTTAATAATAGTGTTGCTTAAACATTCAGAACAAGCAGAATATAAAATAATAACAACATTTTTAATAAATAATGTCTCTATAGTCTATTCAATATGATCTCATGGGCCAAATATAATTATATCATGGGCCAAATTTGGCCCCCGGACCTGAGTCTGAAGTAAAGCTTGTACAAACATTAATAGAAAACATTTTAAGACCAAAACTGAGGAGCCTGACAGTTAGAGAAAGTAGAGAGCAGTTTTTTTAAAGTCAGCTGAAATGGAGCCAGAGCTGATGGAGCCAGAGGCGTGCCCATGTTCACTTCCTGTTCCAGCTAATTAGCTATGTTCATTTATCTACACAGAGTCCATTACCACTCACATCATGACATTATTTTTTCTTGTTTTAGTATTTTAATATTGTTCAAAAATGATGTGTGAAATACACAGCACATTTTCAAAGACTATTTCATATGGTGACCACATTTACAGCCTTCACTTCACAATAGGTCGCTTAAATTATACATAAATTCCAAGTGGAGCTGTAATAATTGTTTTACAGTAGGAAGTGAGAGAAATC